CTAGATTGAACCCCAAGTGAGGAGAAGAGTATGTAATATCTCTTTAACACCAACTTGGTTTATCTATCCCAAAGAAATACTAAACTGTTTTTCCCCCTCTCTTCTCCCTTATTTTCGGCCTGCTCCCATCCACCACCCTAATATTGCTTTTCTCTGCACTTTTCCACTTAAACAAAAGCCTAAAATTACTCCTTCCCCACTGCCAATTTCGTTCCTAGCCTTCCCTCCCTTAAAATCCTCCATTCCTTGCACAAAACCTTACCAATATAGCCTTATCACTTCCTCCCTTTACCTTACTGCCAATTGTGTCTTTCTACCTTGGAGTGGGTGCCTATCATTTTGGTATCAGAGCTTGTTGTTGAACATCTCTTGAGGCCATGCAACACACTTCCAACTCTTTTCCTTTCTTCTTTCATTTCTCGGCCTAAACTGCTGCCATAACCCTCTCCTTTCACTCTCTTCAATATGTCAAACATTTCACCAAGCATCACCAATGAAGAGCTCTGGGTTTCTAATACTGAGCTCAAAGCCCAAGTAGAGTACTTGGCAAAACAGGTTGCTCAACTCACTAAGTTAAAAATGAACTTGGTGAACACTCCGGAAGAAAGTGATGAAGAAAAGGAAGAAGTTCAACTAGAAGCTGATTTTAGTCACACTACTAGAGGAACTGCACCAGAAAAGGGAGCTACTGATTTTAAGGTTGACATACCAACCTTTGAAGGAAAGAATGATCCGGACGACTTTCTAGAGTGGCTGGAAACAGTTGAGCGTGTCTTTGATTTCAAAGATGTGCCCGAAGATAAGAAAGTCAAGATTGTGGCGTTGAAGTTTCGAAAGTATGCGTCCACTTGGTGGTCCAATCTTTCCACCAAAAGAAGGCATGAAAACAAGGCTCCGGTGAAAACTTGGTTCAAAATGCGGAGCTTGCTGAAGAAGAAGTTCTTGCCCGAACAATACGTACGAGACAACTTTGCTAAGCTTCAACACTTAAGGCAAGGTACCCGGTCTGTTGAGGACTATACTCGGGAATTTGAAGAGCTCTTGATGAGATGTGATCTTCAAGAAAATGATTCTCAAACGTTAGTCCGATATCTATTTGGACTTAACACCCAAATAGCTAATATAGTGGAGTTGCAACCCTATGACACCTTTGAAGAACTCTCCAAATTGGCTCTTAAAGTTGAGTCTCAACTTAAGAGGAACAAAGCCCCCTTGGTTTGCCCATCCCCTTTCTCCAAATCACCCTTTACCACCCCAAAAACAGCCCCATCACCTACTGCCCAAAACCCTACCTCAAAACCTAATTCCATCCCCTCTTCCTCAAATCCGCCCCCCTTCAAAGCAAGTCAAACCACTACCCGAGCTCCCAAGTGTTTCCGATGTCAAGGGATAGGTCATTATGCCAATGAATGTCCTAATAAGAAAATAATGGCCATTGTTGAGTATGAAGAAGAAGAAACCAGTCCCTCGTGGGCTGAAGAAGAGCTTGAAGAAGAAGAATGTATCGGGGCAGACGAAGGAGAACTCTTGGTTATCCGTAGGACCTTGAGTAGCATGGCTGGTCCCGATGATCAACTACAGCGGGAAAACATCTTCCACCTGTTGTACGATTCAAAAGAAGGTGTGTTCTTTGATTGTGGACAGCGGAAGTTGCACCAACGTGGCATCCAAAACGTTGGTTGAAAAACTAAAGCTCAAAGCCTCACCCCATCCTAAGCCATATACAATCCAGTGGTTGAATCATGGAAAAGGATTGCGTGTGGATTCACAAAGCTTGGTCTCATTAAGCATCGGGAAAAGCTACACCGATGAAATATGGTGTGACATTATACCCATGGATGCTTGCCATATTCTCTTGGGCAGACCTTGGCTCTTTGATCGCAAAGTTTTTCATGACGGGTTCGCCAACACTTATTCATTCCTCATGAATAAAAAAAAGATCAC